GGCTTGGTGTTTTGGCCTCGCCTCATGCCTAGGCAGCCTTTTGGAACACTGCACTATAATTTGAATGCCGCAATCAAAATTAAAGTAGTAAATAACACTAGATGAGCATGGAGAAACCGGGTAAAAACTCTGCGTATAAATCGAAGCAAATTTACTATACGGTCCAGACCCGTCTACCATGTAGAACTTTCGATCTCAATTTCTGCAATCTCCCTTAATCCTATTGGAGGTGTATTCCTTCAAAACAAATCCCAAGTCCTGGTACCTTATCTTAGTCGTTATAAATTTGTGCTTCTGCAACAGTCTCGATCCCTAGTATGGATTTATTTTTTATGGATTAAATGAAAAATTTCTCATTCTTCGGGTTGGTATTTGATCAAACGATCTTTGTGTCTTGATCAGTATTTTAATGTCTAAGGATGTGAAAATATATGACTCGATATATATCTTAATTAATGGAATCATTTATGGCTCAAAGAAATATCTTGGCTTGAAAAGATTTTATGAACACAATGATATGGTGGTTGAATCTAGAGAGAAAGAATGATGATTTGGATCCTCAAGGAACGATCTCTATGGAATAATATGATTTAACACTCTTTGGGGGGAAGAAATTGTTTGGGATGAAAATGGATTAAAAAAGTCAAGTGTTTTAAAGCAAACGGAATTCTAGACGTCAATTCATCGCTTGAGCACCAACTCGACAACATGCTAGCGAAAATGCATCCTACTTGATTTCAACTTCTTCAAGTTCGAATCTTGATCTTCTTTTTAGATTTCTTTGACTTCTTTTTGGACTCTATCAAACCCATACTAATTTTACCATAATTTGGACTTTTCTAAACCTAATTTGACTTTGATTACTATATTATAAAATCTTAATACAAATCTAATAAATTATGATTTTTGTCTTAGGAAATTGCAAGTTACAAATTAGACTTTACACAAAGGATCAAGAGTCACATGATTAGAAACACTTGAGTCTAATACCCAAGATGAATGAGCAATTGATGGATAACCTGAGACGCCTAAGGTAGATAAAGCAGAAATAACAATTTGTTGGATCATCTCAGTTTGGCGTCTTGTTTTATCAAATGTACGTGATCTGACTATGGTTATCTCATTGGCTTCTATCTGGAATTTTGCTTCTTCTTTTTAACAAACAAAAGAGTTGAATTCATGCTGTTGTTGCTAACTAGTATTTGGATAACAATAATTAAATTTATTAACAATCAAAATTCTTGAGTACATGCACGAGGCTTTATTTAGTTGCTGCTAGGCAAATTGTCAACATTTTCCTCTATCTTTTTCCCTTTTTTTCCTGCATATGTGAAATAATGTGTTAATTACCTTAGAAAGAGGAATGTCTGATCCCAAGCTAGCTCCTGATTCTTCAGAATACCCCTGATGGTAGAAGATTCTCTCTTGATGGTTTTTGAAGTCCCTGAGATGTTAGAGAAATTACAGATATATTTGAAAACTGATCCCGGAGATATAAGGCAATTCGTATTCACAGTCTGAAACCTTGAGCTGAACTCACTCTTGTAGGTAAATGAAATTTGAAGGATTCACATTATGGAACATTGTTATGTTAATCTGTTTGATATCTATGAGTTATAGCTCTTAATCATTATTTGCCAATGTTGTTGGTGGCTTGACATCCAGAATGAAAAAGCTGATTCTCTAGTTGCCAATTGTGTACTCTGGATAAAATTCTAGTTTGGAACCGATGCAAGTTCATACGAAAAGAACTTCAGAAGCTGTCCTTCTACCCCAAAATATCATAACCATCTTTTGCTTAGTGTTCGAGTTCAAGAATGACTATCGGATTAGAATGGAATACAGCTGATTGCCCCGTCTGAAACTGGAGTGAAGACTACTTAAAGATAACTGAAGCGCAACTGACAGGATATCTTGCCCAGTTGCAGAAGGAGAGAGCAGAG